CGGATGGCTTCAATCCCTACCAGATGAAGGAAGCGAAGCACTCAGTCACGAGCACGGCTATGTATATGGTGTGCTTAAGCCTACCTCCCCACCTCCGGTATCTTCCAGAGAACATGTACCTTGCGGGCGTCATTCCGGGTCCGACCAAACCTTCCACGGAGCAGATCAACCACTTCCTGGCGATCCTTGTGGACGAGCTCTTGCAGTTCTGGAATCCAGGCGTCAGCTACTCGCGCACCGCCAAGGTTCCGTATGGGCGTCTCGTCCGTGCGGCTCTCATTCCCCTCGTCTGCGATCTCCCAGCCGCTAGACAGATGGCAGGGCTAGGTGCTCACAACCACTCCCAAGTTCTGTGTAGCTGCTGTCACATCAAACCAGAAGACATTGAAAACACCGATCGTTCCGCCTTCGGCCTTCGTAGTACGAAAGCCCATCGCGCCGCGGCATCAGCCTGGCTCAACGCACAATCCTCTCTCGATCGCGAACAGATGTTCCGTAGCAATGGTATACGCTACTCCGAGCTGCTTCGCCTTCCATATTGGAACCCTGTGGCGTACGTCGTTGTGGATTCAATGCACGACCTCTACCTCGGCATTCTACAGCGCCATATCCGCGATTTCTGGGCAATCAGTACCGATAACCCTGACGGCGATGCATCCTCAAATGATACTACGAAGGCTCCCCCCGCCCCTCCGGCGAAATGATGGAGTTTGGCCTTGATCAATTGCTCCACGGCACCGAAAGAGACCTTCGGGAGTGTGGTAAAGGTGTCTTGTATCATCTGTGCTCGGATAGAGGTATCAGACGTGCAGGGACGGTGTCCATCCTTCTGAAGAATCTCGGACGATGGGTGAGTTTCTCATGGTTCCGTTGTTGGGTAGGCTCAAATCTTGGCGTTCTATAGCGACAGAAGGAAGGCTTGCCCAAGCCTCGTCCCGCTGGATCTACGCCGTTGGCCTTCCCCGAGTCCTCTAGCAGAACTATGCGGCGCACTCGCGCCAGAGTTGTTAGCAAAGAGGAGCTCGATACGGCAGAACTCTTGCTAAGCACCACCGCCTCGTGCAACTCTTTCGCAAAAAAGACGAATGTAGACGTCTTGATAGCGATGTGCGCCTCACGGAAGCTGGACACCGGCGGAAAGAAAGTACTTCTTGCACAAAGGCTGTGGGCCAGAGACGTGAGCAGCCTCTCTTCATTATGGAAATCTTGAGGATCCTGACTGTAATCTAGCGCGGTGCAGAGCACACGAATGTTTCGGAAACTGTCGGCCAAACCGCAACAGCCCGTGGAAGTATACCAGATCTGATAGTGGTTCGTCTTTTCAATTAAGGGAAGATACGCTGTGTATGCTTACTGCAGCGGTCGCTCCCCAACCCGCTATTAGACGACACCCCCCCCAGTAGCTCAAGTAATGTTGCTTCTCGCCAAGGATCAGCCGACGTCTTATTGACATATCATTAGGACGCACCGCAAGCCGACGACGCACAGATGGCAGGGGCAGGAGTAGAAGAGGACGGCCGACAGGTATGTTTGACCGTGCCGACCATGACGAGGAACTAGCTAGCTCACGCGCTCTTCTGGAAGGACAGCGACGGAGACGAGCAACCTTTACCAGGAACTGCCGCACTCGGACGAGAGACAATGCGAGAATATGTCAATGATAGGCAACGCATCGAGCTCCCCCGATGGGTGAACCCCGCTCCGGTCGCCTTCGGCACCTCGAAGCATGGGAAGCTTAGCGCCGATCAGTGGCGAACGGTCGCCATCATCCATCTTCCGATCACACTCATCCGCACCTGGGGTACTGAATCTGGCCGCCGTCTTGATATGCTGAAGAACTTCTTGCACGTGGTGGACGCGATAGAAACGCTAGGGCTTCTCGAGATCGATGAAGAGAGGATTGCACATGCACACGCACAGCTGGTGAAATACCTCGAAGGCGTGAAGGAACTGTACAAGGGTGCCAAGTTACAACCTACCCACCATCTCGCTCTTCATCTCGAGCTCTTCCTCCGCTTCTTCGGACCCGTACACTCATGGCGTTCATTCGCATTCGAGCGCATCAACTTCTTGTTACAGTCTATCAACAGCAACTCGAAATTCGGTGCGTTGACGAGTAACGCTCAGTACATTACAACCGCTGACCTCATTTTAAGGGGAGTTGGAGATGACGATGATGATGACGAGCTGTCGCTCGGCGAACCTCCGCCCTCTCTTGAATGCGCCAGTTGTGCGCTTAGCTATGCCCATCTTCGTACACGAGTTGGAACGCCTCTCTACGGAGGAACGTCGCGGAATGCGCCTCGATGAGGTCAAACGGCTAGTTCCAGACCTATTGCCACGACAAGAACAGAAGAAGGCCAAGGAAGTGCGATTGGACGCAGCCACGCTTTCTGGGCTCGCCTATAGGCTCAACCACGAAGCTCCTGCTCCTGCCTTGGCTGCCGAGGGGAACTCTGCCCGGCCCCGGTTGACGAACCTCTCCCCTAAGGCACAAGTTGTGCCTAAACTCGACGTACGTGGCGTTTTCTACAAGCCCTGGAAGACGGCTCTGGGCGACAGCAATGTCATCTTCCACCATCCGTACACAAGCAGCCAATCTGCCGGTCGCATCGAGCAGATATTCCTGTACCGGCGACGATCAAGCGACGGAACCACGTTGGAGGAAACATTCCTCGCCGTGAAGCAACTCATGGAGCTGGACGAAGCCGACGCCGTACACGACCCGTATCGCCGGTTCGGCCGTGTCGGAGGAAGGCTCTGCTCTGCGGAGTACCGCCCTGAGGTACTGATACTACGGCCAGAAGATGTTACCTGCCATTTCGCCAAGACCACCATGGAGGACATGAATCTCTGCCGCTCATCCCCGGGCGAAGGGATGAAGAAGCTACAGCAAACTTACATTCACGTCCGCCCCCTCGATCGAGTGAGTAAATCCTACATTTGTGTTTGGACGCGTATGTATAACGCCGCACTTTACATCAGCTATTGAAAACGATGGATGTATCTGGCATGGCAGCCAACGAGGAGGCAATGGGTGAATAATCAAGGTTATCGCTGACGGGTGCTTACCTGTCTGAGTCTGATGGTATGCTCCCGCTATAACGGACGCACGCAGTTGTCGCGAGGAAGATGCGTTTTTGTTGAACAGTTGGTATACTCTGATGGACACAGATATTCGATGTGCTTTGCAAAGTTGACAATCTGGGTGTTCGAGGTATGCTGGGGTGATGAGAAACGAACGCGGACGCAAAGCTGGCTCAGAATGACTCCGGCTGGCAGCGCATGACTCCCACTGTCGCTGGGCTATGAGGGCAAATCTGGCGCCGGGGAACGTGGCGGACTTGGAGCTCGGCGCGCGGCTGATTCGCGCGTCTCCCCTTTGCTCCCGCCCACCACGTCTACTGCGGTCCAGCAGCTTTCGGGATATATCCCCACACCATTCGACGGCTGGGGCAACTCTAACGGAACGATGCAGCGTACCTCCCTATACACAAACTCTTGTCTCCCTGGTATCATCGCACCCACAGCGGCGCTGGTGAACCATCGGTAGCAGGGGCGACCCGTACGATTCACGCGATCTACGCAGGCGTGTACTGCGTCGTCCTCCGATGTGCACCGCAGCCAAGCGGTGAGTACGTTTGCTCGCATGCCGTCTGATACCCGCTGACAAGATGATGCACACGACAGGTATGTATCTCTGGACGCTGGCGCTTGGAGCGCGGAGCGCGACCCCGTCGTCGTACGCGGCTGGCGGCGAGTACGTCTGCGACTCGACCTATCGGAATGCCTCTCCGTGCGACCTAGCTCCCCGAGTGCATCGTCTGATGCCTCGAGTGTAGACGTCGTGGAGATGGCTGAGAGGGTTATCGTACGACGCATACCTGCGTGCGCGACAACGGGGGCAGACGGTCCTTGGCCGATTTCGCGCTGATGAGCCGCCTCTCAGCGAGACCACGATGTCACGCGCGAGAGGTCC